CATATATATATGTTATATGTATATATATATATATATATATATATATATATATTATATGTATATATAAAATATATATATATATATATATATATATATATATATATATATATATATATATATATATATACATATATATATGTATGTATGTATGTATACATACATACATACATACATATATATATATATATATATATATATATATATATATATATATATATATTTCTATATAAAATATTGAACAAAAACTGTAAGGAACTAAGAAAGAAAGCCATGGATGACTGGGTAAATTATAGGTTGCATGGGAATAAAACAGCTATTTCTGTCTTAAAACATCTTAACAGTTGTATGACTATTTAATTATATTTTCTAGGAAGATATTGTTGACAATAATTAAGCACACCCACGGAGTCTTAAAAATGCAAATACAAAAATATTCAATATCAAATTGAAATAAAATAATTTTTTTGCACTAGTAATCAGCCAACTGATCTTAAAACAAGACATTTATTGCTTGTTGACCCAAAACATGAGCAAACTAAGCAGCTGCAGAATTCCTGAAATTTTAACACTGATCATAGATCTAGAATTTATATTGATTTTTATTGTTAATTTGCTATTAAATTTGAGGTAATGGTTTAGTAGTGCGCATACGTGTGTGAAAAGTAAACACCAAACATTATTCACTGTCAAAGATTTGCGCACTCACATCAGCCTCACTATGCGTTCAATGTAAACCTCTAAAAGCGTGATAATATGATAAATAATATTTGGGTGGCTGTGAGTTGATCAAGTAGATTAACTTTTATTTTTGACGCCTCGATGCAGTACTCTGAAAATGAGCCTCAGTGGGTTCATATAAATACTAGTAGAGGTGAACCTGCTCTGCAAGAATGTCTTCCAAATGGTCCAGTTTGAGTTAAAGGCAGCACATGTGATCTGTGCCGAGGTAAACCACAGAGACACCACAACACACGAGGCAGCGCTCAGCGGTGTGAACTGTTGCTGTGCGGACCTGATTTTTACCAGCTGGCATTTTTGAACAATGTTGTCTGAATATGTTATTACATCTGGATGAAATCACATTCCACAGTGTAACTGTGGTTGTTAAACAGGTGCTGGAAAATATAAAAATCCATAGAAGTGAGAATAACATCTGACCCTGTTTGGTTCTAATTCAGTGATACCTCAATGCTTCAGGTCAGGCCTGGGTTTGGACTGAGACATTAATGTTTTTAATGCTGCTGTTCCTGACCTTTATCCCGGTCATACAGCAGATCCTCTGTGGAGTAAGGACTGCCATCATGTGACCCTGGAGGACAGGCTGGTGAGGGACAAGGAGACAGGCTAGAGCAGCTGCTGGACCGCCCCGGGGCGGAAGGAGTCTGGGTGTCCACGCTGCGAGAACTACTACTCCGCTGCTGGGGAGGGAAGGGTGCCCGACGCCCGTCTGGAACCTCCAGAGACTGCAGAGCAGCAGGGGATGGAAACAGAATGTGAATGAGCTCTGAGACACAACGATCTGACAGACACAGGACAGAAGCAGCTCAACAGGGACGAACCTTGAGCTCGTCCTTCTCTCCGTTGTCTTTGATGAAGACTTTCTCCAGCTCATGGTTGATGCCCTCCATGCTGCTGGGCACCCTGGAGATGGAGGGCTTTGGCACCGTGATGTTGGACAGCGGCATCTGGGCCGACTTCGACATGGAAAACTGCTGCAGTAAACACACACACGTACACACGCATATGCACATTTCCTTTAATATTTTAAGTAAGACTCCTGGTATTGTTGAGTCAATTCAGGTTTTATATATATGTTGACCATAATTGATAAATCATGATATATGATTAATGGTTTCAACCCCATGCGGCACAATAAACAAAATGAATGAAGTGAAGCTCCAGGTACTGGTGCAGGTACCTCAATGTAGCAGGCTGCTGTGCAGGTATGGCTGTTACAGCTGGACAGGAAGGAAGCTGCTCTTCCACTGAGGGAGGAAGGCTGCTCTTCTTCCTCTGGATCACCTTCCTGTCTCCTGGATTCCAGCTGCTGATCCTGTGAGCAGAATACATGAAAATCAGATGTTTGGACAAACTGGTGGTTTAGCCGCACTCACTTGACAGGCCCACTTGTTTATGGACTACTACACTGAATGATTTGTAAGGAGCAACATGATGCATTATAGAATGTTTGGTTTGGAACCTATAATGCAGTGGAAATTAACATACACTTAAAACATGTAGAACCTTTTTTCTCTAACATTGAATCAGATGAAATCTCTTCTACTTTATTGATCTCAGAGAGAAATAAATGTAGTTTTAACTCGTATTAATTCAAATTCTTCAAAGAGTTATTCTAGATAGTGATGGCTGTTGGTAGATCTACTGTAGCAGTCTATATTACAGTGAAGTTGTCTGTTTTGCCATCACAGTCTCGTGAAGAAAATGATCAGGGTTGTCCATAATGTTCTTGATTTTATGAAGAATCATTTTCTGCACCATCATATTCAGAGGTTCCAAAGTCGTCCTCATAACAGAACCAGAACAGAACTAGAACAGAACCAGCCTTCTTTATCAGGCTGTTGAGCCTTTTTAGGTCCCCGGTTCTGATGCTGCTGCCTCAACAGATGATGGGAGAAAAGATGAAACTCTCAACAGACTTATAGAAGATCTGCAGCATCTTGCTGCAAACCTTGAAGGATCTTAGCTTCCATAAGAAGTCCAGTCTGTTCTGTTCCTTCTAGACGCTTCACTGTTACTCAGGTACCCTGAGAGACAAAAACCAAACCTTTTGGACCAGTGCTCATTATACTGAGTAAAACTAACACAAAAATATTTTGTAAAAGTCTTTTTTAGTTATAGAAACATCACATTAAGTAATAAATGAAAAGAGCTATGGTAAACATTTTTGAAAAAAAAAAAAAAAAAAAAAAAAAAATAATAAAATTATTAGAGAATCCATCTATCTGCTGTGTATACCCACATATCCATGGCTGATCAGCGGCAGCAGGGCCCACTGCTTGTCCTGCTGAGCACCGCCTCCTGGCGCAGGAGAAACAACAACCTTTTCACAGAGCCTGTCTCCCCCACCCATTCTGCTGTCAGATGATGCCAAACCAGATCAACACCATAAACACAGGAGTGGACACACAGGAGCATTCCACAACATGCATGGAGCAGCTGTAACCAATGGAAACCGGTCAAAAATACACACCAGGCCAGTTGACTGTTCTGAGATCAGATTCAGAACATACAGGGGACTGATCCCAAAATGGACCTAAGTTTAATTAATTAATTCATTCTTTTTTATTTAATTTTCCTTTGGGATCAATAACGTATTTTTAAATTAAGTTGTATTGAATTGATGGTGCAATTTCAAAGGCAACAGGGCCTGGCCTTGTTGTATAACTGGTCCTGAAAATACTGCTCTGTTTCTTTAAATCTCCTGTAGGCTTCATGCTCTTCAGCTGTCAGGAGCGTTGTTGGTAGCTATCAACTACATTTAGCTTCACTTCTGTGTGACGTTACAGTAGTTACACCTGTCGCAATAAGCAATAAATCAATTACTTGCACCCATCCATCCATTTTCTATACACCCTTGTCCCTTAGTGAGGTTGGGGAGGGCTGCTGGTGCCTATCTCCAGCTAACGTTCCGGGCGAGAGGCGGGGTCACCCTGGACAGGTCACCAGTCTGTCGCAGGGCAACACAGAGAGACAGGACAAACAACCACACACACACACACACACACACACACACACACACACACACACACACACACACACACACACACACACACACACACACCTAGGGAAAATTTGGAGAAGCCAATCAACCTGACACCATGATTACTTGTATGATATATCAAATATATTAAAACAAGCTCAGATTTTTAAAATAGATTTTTAATTTCCATTTAAATTTTTTTTCTCCTTTCTTTCTACCAAAAACTGGACAACAAAAATTTTTAATGTTGTGCTTTGGTCTCAACTAGCCACTTTTTTCAATGCACAATTTTGTTTACAGACTAAAGCATCCATTTTATTTGTTGTTTCTGTTGTNTTTGTTCTGTTTATTTATTTTGCATATTTAAAATGTCTTGCAGTTCCAGTGTTAAATGTTCATGAGAATTTAAAGATTATTGATCTATGATAAAGTGTTCTTGCATTATAACGCCATTACCATTATGCTACTTGGTCTCAAACAACAATATTGTGATTATTGTTTATCACAATAACTTCTGGGATATTTATTATCCAGTTAAATTTGTTACAGTAACAGACCCATAGTTATCCTCCAGAAACCCTATTTAAAGTTTAAAATTACTTTCACAGTACTTGTGACAGGTATATCACTGATACTTGGGACTTAAATAAACCCATTTATTGTTCAGATAGAACATGTCAGATGGGAATGATGTATGCGTACATCTTAAAAAGAAATCTGATCACATTAGTTTTTTAAATAAATCTTTATTTCTGAGTTTTAGTTTTTGAAAATGTAGTCAAAGGAAAATCTAAATAATGTTTAAAAGTTTATCTGTGCACTAGTGCGTTACAAAATGTAACTATATTCCAGCTCAGAATGAATATCCTTTGTTCCTTTGTCTGTGAGTAAAACTAGACTAAAACAAATTTTGGTTTTAGTCTAGTTTACATTTGACAGAAATGTGACTGAAACTAAAATCCCAAAAATTGTTGTCAAAAGCCTCCAGACTAGACCAGTGCTGTAAGTATTAACACTGTTTTGAAGACATGTTCTGTGGTCTGAGAACATGTCTGGGTGATGTTGAAGTTTGGACACAGATGGGAGTCCTGAGTGGACGATGTCCCTCAGAACCATCTAGTGAGTCGAAAGTGGCTTAAATAATGGTACACCGACTGCAGATTTCTGGCCAATCTTTAAAAACTTAACCTGCCAATTCTGAATTTGGCTGATATCATTTTTTTGTTTGAAAAGCTAAATATAGTGACAAAGCTGCCAAGTTTGTAACAGTGTGGTTATTATTGTCAACCGCGCTCATGCAGACATGACCTGGTGGGTGAGTCAGTCAGTCAGCCCTCTCTCACTACAGACCAATAGGGGACAGAAACTGATTTTCAGACGTTTGCTGAAGTAAAGAAGATCGGTTTCACATGTTAGCATTGGCCAATCGCTAGTCTTCCAAAATTAAAGAAATTTTGATCTAATGACATTAGTAGATGGCCACTAATCTCAAGTGGCCATCACAAAACCATGATCTCAGTACTATGGACTAAAACAGTGGAGGGTTTCCCAAAGGAAATCTGCTAAGCCTGTTGGTAGCTAAGGCCACAGATGTTTCCTTGACGTTTCAACCCAGCGGCCCATTATGGGGTTAAATAATGTTAAAAGCTACAAAATTCAGCAGGCATCATATGTTCAATGTATCAACTATAAACCTTGTTTCATCTATCTTTACTGTCACTGTACTGGAGTATAAAAACTTATTAAAATTCTTATTAAAATAAACAAACAGCGCTAAACAAACCGTCTTACTTATAATACACCGGAGGAAACTCTGCAATGCATGTACGTATGTGTGTGTGTGTATGTGTATGTGAGCAAGGCAGCTTACAAACCTGATCCCATTGCACCGGTTCTGTCAGCAGGTACGGGTCAAAACTACCATGACATTAAAACAATTCTCTAAAACAATCTCTGGCATTTAGAAAAAGGAAAGCATTGGTGTGAACCTGAACTGAGTAAAAACAGGAAACATTTAGTCACATTTCATGTAAGACTGAGGAAATGAGTGTAAATATCTAGGTTTAAGTGTACTGTTCCACTTTTCTCTTCTACCTACTCGGTTTATTTCACCCACAGTAAGAAGAGTTAAAAGCTGGGTCACCAAATGTCCACCAGGTGTCACTGTTTCCATTGCAGATAAACAACAGAAATAGATTTAAAGCAGACTTCTATCTTTGCTTCTATGACATCTTTGGAAGGTTCAGGGTTAGGAACCTGAGTGTGAAAGTTCCTCTAGAGGTCAGTTTTTATCCCAGCTGTCACTGTGTGTTTCTATGACTACAGGAACTCCCAAAGAACATCTATACCAGGCACCGTGTTCAGACCTGTCCTCCTCCGTCAGTCCTGACACTGACCCTCTTCTCTCCAGAAACAGAACGCATGCAGGATTTATCAATAAAGGCAGAGTGTGTAACGGTTGTAAGATGATCTGTGGATGTGGGCCACAGAACCAGTTCCACTGCAGGCACTGCACCAACTGCTGCTGCTCACGTTTCAGATCACTGGCTCAGATTGAAGATCTCTCCCTCCACTTTCTGTCAGATCCTTGACATTTCAACTCAGGAACACATTTTGATGGACAGCAGCAAATGGGGGAAATAACAGCTTAGCAGAACGGGTGCTGTCACTGTCTGGTGTAATGACTGCTGAGACTAAAGCCTACTGATTGAGCAGGAAGAAGAACCAGAAATCTACCCGACACTTCAACCAGATCAGATTCACAGCTTTCCCAGAGGTTTGACAAAGAGATTCTAACTTTGGATGATTTGGTCCCAAATATACCACAGAATGTTCACAAACGATGCACCACCCTGCACAAGAAGTATTTTTTAAGCCCTTCATTCTAAATAGACTGCAACATTACCTATAATTTCAGAGGAAAACATCAAGTCAAGTCAATATTTTTTGTGAAAACAACATAAGGTTTGGAATTTATTTTGATGTATTGCTAGAAACACAATCAATATAATATAGGGACAGCTGAAACCAGAAGTTTACATACAAGACAGGGTTTCCCCCAGAAAACTTGCTAAGCCCGGTGGTCGGGGTGTCGAGTCGGTCCACCGGTGGTCCACCGTGTTTTGTATTAAAAGATGTTAAGTTGACAGGAAATGTAAAAGTATTACTGTGTAATTATATGTTATGGGAAAAGACTCTCGAGTAAAATGCTATTTAAACCCACAACTAGTCTGAAAACAACAAATTTGCACTTCTGTTTAATCCAAAATAAGTCAGCAGCTCCATCAGGCCCCCAAGGGCTTCAGGGGGCCTGATGGAGCAGGGCATTTCAAGGTGCTTTACATAATTAAAGAAAAAAAAAAAAAGAACAGCATGTGACATTGAAATGCGCAACAAACAGGAGATTTAATTCAATGCTGCTAATGTGGCTTTAGTAACTCTTCCATTTCGTGTCTGTTGAGTTTTTAATAAGCGTCACAGAAACTATTCTGGTTGGTCGAGTTTATGGGACGAGTTTCTCAGATCTCCGTGCGGCGGCGCATATTAACTCCAAGTAGACAACACATTTGATATGGTTTGATGCATCGTGTAACCGGAAAAATAATACTAAAAATAATAATAAAACAATATAAAATCAGCGTGATGCGTGACTCCGAGGAGAGCGTTAAAGCTCCTCACCGGGCTGAACCTGCATGATCAGGTTAGCGCTGCTCATTATCCACAAACGCTCCGGCCAACCGGGACCACAGACATAATCTTTACAGGGAAGACAGACACAGAGCCACACGCTGGGCAGCGTGTTGAGATGTAAACACCGCATATAATTGTTCGTTCACAAAGATAAATCATTCTCACTGCTCCACAACGCACCTCTGAATTCGCTACAAGTTATTCCTGCGGTTCACATTGAGCTGCGCAACCAGAGCTAACGCGGCGGGTTTTAAACTCTTACCTAGAGTTCTCCAATAGACTATAATCCCTCACAGTGGGTTGAAGTAAATATCCAAACAGGTCAGCCTGTGTCCAGTTTGAGTGAAAGGAGGTGCACGCAATCCCGCTGAGGTAAAGCAGCGGCAGCGCGAGGCAAAGCGCAGAGGCGCCAGCTGTGTGATTGGTCCGCGTGCTGTCGGCTTTAAATGCATAAACTATAAACCTATCTATTATAAACCTACCCTTTAGGAATAAATCGGCTTTGCTAGTGAAATGCTAAGAGCAAAAGAGACGCTTGCAGCTCGGCTCTAAAAAACAAACAAAAAAAAAATGATTTTTTTTTTCCTTTCCTAGAAACGTAAACAAGCTAAGCTTAGCCTGGCGGCGGGGCTAGTAAAGCATGGCGGGCCGCCAGGCTTATAATATACTGGGGGAAACCAAGCAAGATAAAAAGGCATCCGTCTTTTTTTCTCACAGAGTTAAATCTGAGAAAATGTTTCTTTTTTAGGTCAGTTAGAATTATCTAAATTATTTATATTTGATAAAGGCCACAATAAGAGAAAGAATCTATTACAGACTTTTTTTTTTATTAATGTCTTCAAAATCTTTGAATTCAAGTCCACTCACGGAAGGGATGAAAGAAAAAAAAACTTTTAAAAAATATTTGTGATTTCTTTTTAGAAAAGAAAGTAAAGTTATATCAAAATTGAAAATTGGAATTGGCAGGAAGAACATTGGAGATATTATTTGTAAGCCATATCACCAGGTTGTCAAGATTCAAACTGTCAAGCTGGGGGCTAGTTGCTTTAACAAACTATGAGTTTTAAGTTGTAGAAGTTTTTATAGTTTTTATGTAATTTCTCTCTACGTCACACAGGAGATGGAAAAGCGTTCT